CAACAGCGCGGACGTGCATCGCCAGCTACAAAACAGGAAGAAACAAAAGAGCGAAACATTTCACGAATACATATTACAATTACGGCAGATTGCAGCAGCAGGTAATGTGGAGGAATCAGCGATTCTGAGGTACGTTGTAAACGGACTAGTTGTTATGAAGAACGAGTACAAGGCCATTCTTTATTCGTGCAAAACTTTTAAATCACTCAGAGAGCAGTATGGCATCATAGAGCAGCTGGACGACAAGCCTCGTAGTTCCTGGAATAAGAGCGGTGCATCAACGTAAGAAGACCAGCGAAAGAAAGAATTTAGTTTCAAGTGTGGCAGAAGTAGAAGCCAGTATTAAAAGCATATGACAGAACGATGAGTACATCAAGGCGATTCTCGTAATCCTCCATGAACGTCCATACCAAAACTTCAAGATCAAAGGAGATATCCTCTACCGTACAGTCGATGGAAATGTTCTTTTAGAGCAGGAGGGCCGAGTGTAAAGGGTTAAGGCCGAAGAGGACAGCTAGTAAGCAACTCCCTCCTTGTGAATGGTATTCAGCGATCTAGAGAACAGCTGAATGAGAAACCGGAGAAGGAATTACGACGGAGATTCATTCGCAGAAGGAAGTCGTAGGAAGCGGTCGCATTTAAAAGTCGTCAAAGTTGCCTAAAGTTGTCTTCAGTTGCTTAAGTTAAAATTAGAAGCTAAGAACGTTGCTGTAAAAATTGATCATTTATTTAATATCCCAGCGTACTGTTAATTTAAATATACCACTTATAATACCAACTTTACATATATTTAAGCCTAAGTTATCCTAGTTTCAAATAGGCGCGCGCGAGGTTACCAGTATTGATCAGCAAGATCGGTCAGCTGGCCAGTCGGGGCGAATGCCGACAGTATCGATAAGTTATCGCAATCACCCGTGAGCGCGCGTGCTGTTAAGCGCAAAACGTGCGATTAAGGGCAAGCTTAGTGCTGTTAATAGCGCGAGCGTGCTGTAAAGGGAAAAAGCGTGTCGACGTGGAACTGAGATCGGTCTCATTCTTTTGCGGCAGCCGAGCTGAACAGACCAGGAGGACAAAACCAGCAGCAGGAAATCCGCGGACGGCAACGCCATACCAAGCTCTAGAGTAAGATAAGAAGCAGAGACCAGAAACCGACATACTGAGTGCGAAGGTTAGGGATAATAAAAGAGTGAATAAAAGGAAGATAAAGTTGTGAAATTAAACCCCCAAGCCTGGCTACTAAAATTTAGTGAACTTTGCCGAGTGTTTTCGGGTCGCCTAGGTTACCGTACTGCGTTTCCGAGGTTTGTTTTCTCTACGCAACGCGGACACCAAATCTACCAACGTGCTACTCCAGGTCGGGCAAGTTCTCGTGTTGCGTTTCCGAGGTCTTTACGCAATACGAACGCTTACCAGACTGGAGAAAAGCGCGGGAAACTATCGCCGGCCTTTTCTACTCACGCTCAGGCCCAGTCGAAATCCCCGCGAGTTAAATTTGTGGCGGCCCCGTTTTCGTGTTGCGTTTCCGAGGTTTGTTTTCTCTACGCAATACGAACGCTTGCCGGACCGGAAAAGCTATCGCCGATCGCCCACGCTCAGGCCCAGTCGAAAATCCCTCTCGCGTTAATTTGTGGCGGTTCCGTTTTCGTGTTGCGTTTCCGAGGTTTGTTTTCTCTACGCAACGCGGACAGCGAGGCTGTCCACGTGCTCGTTCGCGTCGGAAAAGTTCCCGTATTGTACTTCCGAGGCTTACTCAGCGCAATACGAACGCCCTCCGAACTGGGAGACGCGTAAAGTATCGCTAATACCTCACGTACACCCGCGTATTTACCCCCAACTGAGACCCCGGGTGCTAATTGGTGTCGCCCCAGTTGACATTACGCCTCCGAGCGATCTACTCTACGTAGAGGCGGAGACACAGGCCACGTGATCCCGAAAACAAAATCCCGGCGGCAACTCCCAGTCCCGTTTCGTCTCGTGTGTTTCTACAAATTTAACTGTAGAGGACTCTGGCCGGACTGAAGTCTATCCCAGCCTATTAAAAAGTCCTTACAGTTTGGCGCCCGAACAGGGACGACTCAGGGACGACCTAGGTATCCTGTAGGAGTTGGGTTTTCAGTATCAACCCCATGGCTTAAAGACCCATGTCTAGCCGTCGGATTTTTTTTGATTAGGAGCACCCAAGATTTAAAAGCCTAGTTAAAGAGTAAGAATCTGTACTGCCACTTTCGACAACGCCAATCTACTCCGCAACTGCGCCGCTTACCATGTGCATCCCAGCGACCAACTGCGCCGCACCCCGAGCGCTTACCCAGCCCGCTCACCTCAGGAGCACCCCAGAGACCGCTCGCACCACGAGCAGCCCAGCGATCAGCAGCGCTCGCCCACCGAGCGCTCACACCAGGAGCACCCCGAAGGCCAGCTTCGCCGCCCGGCTTGCGCCCCCCAGCAGCGCCATCTACAGTGCCAGCTACAGCACTCACCGCGACGAGGAAACAATCGCCACGCTCACCGTGGACCCCGGATCACTCGCCGCCAGAGACTCGCTCCTGCGCCACCACCAGCCGCTAGTCGGGAGACCCAGCCACTCCCACCTCATCATCCAGCAGCCCCGTAACGCACGTGCATCGGAGGCGCAATATCAGCGAAACTCCCACATCAGCATCCACTTGACACCCACTCAGAGGCCCAACAGCAGCGGGCACCCAGCCACAACGTTCACCTTGTCCACCGATGAAAACGGACCTGGAACAGAAAGCGTCGGAGGACGCAGAACAAAAACCAGCTCCGTCAGCCTCCAGACAGATCGAGGAGGGGAGCTTCTCCGAATCCGACGACGCATTCACGACCCGAGCCATGGGGGTCAGGTGGATTTCCTACCGGCGGTAGGAACACCCACGGCCAGTTGGACGAACTGCGACCCCGGCTTGCATCGTTCATCGGAGGGTCCAACCACAGCCCGGCGCTCCGGGAACGCTTTGCCGCATTGGACGCCATGTACCCGGCGGCTCCTACACCAAAGGTAGTGACCAACTGGTCCACCTCACCGATGCCCGGCGCAGGGGACACCTTTCTCTTCGTGCCGCCCCCAGAACACCGTCAGCCGAGCCCAGGACGCGGAGCCAAAGGCTCCCACCCTGCTGTCCAATCGCCACCCCAGCAGATGTCCGCAGCCGCATTCGCCGAGAAGCTTCGGGGGTGGGGCATCCTTTTCGATGGGCAAGCCGACCCCCTGCGTTTCATGGAACGAGTCGAGGAAGGCGCTGCAGCATACAGCGTACGTAACAGCGACATCCCACGGGCCATCGCTGAATTACTATCGGGCCGCGCCGAAGGCTGATACCGAGCCTACCAGATGCACGCCGTGCCCTGGGAGACTTTCAGGCGGGAGTTCTTGGAGTTTTTCCTCCCTCCACGGTACTACCAGCGCCTGGAGGATGCGAGGATTCGGGTCAAAACATCAAAGAAGTTCGCACCCAAATATCCCTGGCGGACGGATCCCCGAAGGAACTCACCAATGCCCTGCACGCACAAGTGCGCCTGGACCAACAACATGTCCGCATGACCCTCCTGGTCATGCCAACGATATTGGACGAGGTGATCCTCGGGATTGACTTCCTCTGCGGCATCCGCTAGCTCCGCCTGCCATACGAAGAGCCGAACCAGGCCCAGCCACCCGAGCGGCGCCCACAGCGGCGGTCGCCCACCTTTCCTCCTAACCGTCGGACAACAAGGACCAACGAGGAGGCCACAACGGGTCCCATACCCGCCCCAAGGCAGCGCATCTCGTCGACCGCGGGACGGAACCCAGCCCCAGTTCCATCGGAGCACTCGCCACCACCGGTCCTTCCCGACACTACCACGGGAATCACGAAGGCCGATGTCACCGTCAAGGAAGGCAAGTACAGCCTCCAGCCACTACCGGATGCCGCCGTGGGCAAGAAACGGAACCCTTTCGGAAGTATCTCGCGGGTCAGGACCGCTTAGCCAGCACAAGGACAGGAACGTTCCCCGACGACCCGGATACGCCACGATCTTCCCCGGGAAACCCGCAAGAAATCGGGAAGTACCAGCTACTCGCCCAACCGGATACAGAGGACGCTCAGTGGCGTAAATCCCCGCCGGGATCTCTAGTGTCTTAAGAACCTCTCGACGCAGTAACCCTCCGGTTCCTTCAAGAGGAGCTTAGGCATTTCAACCATCTGCAAGGAACAACGGATATAGCCGAGCACACCATCACACTTCGGGGAGATAAACCGCTGAAGCAGCGGTATTATCCCAAGAACCCTGCAATGCAGCGTATCATCAACGAGCAGGTGGACGAACTGCTGCAGGACGGACGAATCGAACCCTCTCGAAGTCCGCACAGCGCACCGCTGGTGTTGGTCCGAAAGAAGACAGGGGACATGTGGATGTGCGTTGACTATCGTCAACTCAAAAGACACTCCATACCCGACGCGTACCCGCTTCCGCGCATCAACCATATCCTGAAACGTCTACGAAACGCCCGGTTCATCTCCAGGGAGGAAGTGAGGGAAGTCTTCCGGCGCCTTCGAGAAGCGAATCTACGCTTAAATCGGGGTAAATGCAAGTTCTTCCAAAGAAGATTAGTGTATTTGGGTCACCTGATCATCGAGGAAGGCATCAGGACAGACCCCAACAAAATAGCGGCGATCCAGGGGCTACATCCCCCGACTAACGTCAAGGAACTTTGCCGCCATCTCGGAATCGCATCTTGGTACAGAAGTTTTGTCCAAAACTTTGCCTCCCTAGTACAACCAATGTCGCGACTCCTGAGGAAGGGAGTAAAGTGGACCTGGGAAGAACCCCAACAGCAGGCGTTCGATTCACTTAAAGCGCGACTGAAACTCCAACAGTATCAGTTCGACGTACTTTACCGGAAGGGTAAATACAACGTGGTCGCCGACGCCCTTTCCCGGCAACCACTCGGAAGACTCTAGTTACTCGCGGAACTTAAGTGCCACTGCAAATGGGTACAAAAGATGCAGGAGCAGGTCCAAAGACGTCCCGAGAAATTTCCGGACTACTCCCTTGATGATGGACAGCTCTATAAACACATAGGGCATCCCACAGACGTCAGAGTAAGCAACCCCTGGAAGCTGTGCGTGCCGCGAGAACAGCGCCAACGCGTGCTGGAAGACTGCCACGACCATCCCTCCGCCGGGCATCCGGAAGACGCTCAGGAGGATCGCCCAGCGTTACTTCTGGCCTGGACTTCATCGGGACGCGGTACGGTACGTCACTAGCTGTCTGACCTGCCAACAGTACAAGGTTAGTCAGTGTAAACCAGCCGTCAAGATGCTCACTCGCCAACCTACGGAGCCGTTCGCGCTCGTCGGAGCCGACTTCGTTGGACCCCTTCCCAGGACCCGGCGAGGAAACACCATGCTCTTGGTTTTCATCGATGTATTCTCCAAGTGGGTACAGCTCATCCCATTGAAGAAAGCCACCTCCGCCCAACTAGAGTTCGGATTCCGAGAAAGGATCCTCTCTCGCTTTGGAGCCCCCAGGAGGTTGATTTGCGACAACGGCACGCAATTCACCAGCCGAAGCTTCAGGGCGTTCTGCCGGAACAACGGTATTCAACTGGAATACACCGCTCCGTACTCCCCCCAGCAAAATCTGACGGAGCGCGCCAACCGCACTATCAAGACAATGATAGCACAATATGTGAATCAGGACCACCGGACATGGGACCAGCTACTGCCCGAGGTCTCCCTCGCCATTAACACCAGCACCTCAGATAGCACGGGGTTTAGTCCGGCTTACCGAGTACAAGGTCGGGAGCTTAGGTTGCCAGGTGCCCTCTTCGATGCGGTCGCATCCGACTTACATGACTCGCCATTGGATCCAACGGAACGAGCCAAAAGGCTTCAAGAAGCGTTCCGCACCGCCCTGGAAACCAACCAAATAGCTTCTCAGGAACAAAGTCGACACTACAACCTGAGACGACGCGCAACTAGGCTCGCAGTTGCTAGTCCGTCTTCACCATCTGTCCAAGCCCAACGAGGGCTTTAACGCAAAACTTGCACCGAAGTACGCAGGTCAGTTTAAGGTGGTGAAATTTCTATCATCGAATGTCGTGCGGCTATAGCAGGTAGACGGCCGGAAGAGGCGTACAGCTGGCATAGGCGATCTAAAGGAGTATCATCCGCGTGAAGGACAACACGACGACTCTACAGAAGGCCCCAGAAGGAGCGATTCTCAACACGCACCTGATGACGGGCCCGTTACACCTCTACAAGGGTAGACGTAATTGGCGTACCAGTCAACAAGCTACCTTAAAGCGGGAAATACGTAATAGTAAGCTAACTATTTGGACACCTTTCAGAGACAACCACATCCAGGCCCAAGATCGCCGGCGCGTGCGGTATCTCCGCCACATAGACGGTGTTAAATTAAATAAAAGGAAGATAAGTTGTGAAATTAAACCCCCAAGCCTGGCTACTAAAATTTAGTGAACTTTGCTGAGTGTTTTCGGGTCGGCTAGGTTACCGTATTGCGTTTCCGAGGTTTTTTTTCTCTACGCAACGCGGACACCAAAGCTACCCACGTGCTACTCCAGGTCGGCCAAGTTCTCGTGTTGCGTTTCCGAGGTCTCTACGCAATACGAACGCTTACCAGACTGGAGAAAAGCGCGGGAAACTATCGCCGGCCTTTTCTACTCACGCTCAGGCCCAGTCGACATCCCCGCGAGTTAAATTTGTGGCGGCCCCGTTTTCATGTTGCGTTTCCGAGGTTTGTTTTCTCTACGCAATACGAACGCTTGCCGGACCGGAAAAGCTATCACCGATCGCCCACGCTCAGGCCCAGTCGAAAATCCCTCTCGAGTTAATTTGTGGCGGTCCCGTTTTCGTGTTGCGTTTCCGAGGTTTGTTTTCTCTACGCAACACGGACAGCGAGGCTGTCCACGTGCTCGTTCGCGTCGGAAAAGTTCCCGTATTGTACTTCCGAGGCTTACTCAGCGCAATACGAACGCCCTCCGAACTGGGAGACGCGTAAAGTATCGCTAATACCTCACGTACACCCGCGTATTTACCCCCAACTGAGACCCCGGGTGCTAATTGGTGTCGCCCCAGTTGACATTACGCCTCCTAGCGATCTACTCTACGTAGAGGCAGAGACACAGGCCACGTGATCCCGAAAACAAAATCCCGGCGGCAACTCCCAGTCCCGTTTCGTCTCGTGTGTTTCTAAAAATTTAACTGTAGAGGACTCTGGCCGGACTGAAGTCTATCCCAGCCTATTAAGAAGTCCTTACAGTTTGCGCCCGAACAGGGACGACTCAGGGACGACCTAGGTATCCTGTAGGAGTTGGGTTTTCAGTATCAACCGCATGGCTTAAAGATTTTTTTTGATTAGGAGCACCCAAGATTTAAAAGCCTAGTTAAAGAGTAAATAGGGGAATCTGTACTGCCACTTTCGACAACGCCAATCTACTCCGCAACTGCGCCGCTTACCATGTGCATCCCAGCGACCAACTGCGCCGCACCCCGAGCGCTTACCCAGCCCGCTCACATCAGGAGCACTCCGGAGTCCAGCCGCGCCGCCGCCTGAGCGCCGCCTACTGAGGGCCCTCCGGAATCCACACTCATCAGGAGCATCCCAGTGGGCCACCTGCGCCGCTTACCGAGAGCGCTCCCAGAGACCGCTCACATCAGGAGCGATCCCAGAGATCAGCAGCGCCACACCCCGAGCGCTTGCCCAGCCCGCTCACCTCAGGAGCACCCCAGAGACCGCTCGCACCACGAGCAGCCCAGCGATCAGCAGCGCTCGCCCACCGAGCGCTCACACCAGGAGCACCCCGAAGGCCCGCTTCCCCGCCCTGCTTGCGCCCCCCAGCAGCGCCATCTACAGTGCCAGCTACAGCACTCACCGCGACGAGGAAACAATCGCCACGCTCACCGTGGACCCCGGATCACTCGCCGCCAGAGACTCGCTCCTGCGCCACCACCAGCCGCTAGTCGGGAGACCCAGCCACTCCCACCTCATCATCCAGCAGCCCCGTAACGCACGTGCATCGGAGGCGCAATATCAGCGAAACTCCCACATCAGCATCCACTTGACACCCACTCAGAGGCCCAACAGCAGCGGGCACCCAGCCACAACGTTCACCGGGTCCACCGATGAAAACGGACCTGGAACAGAAAGCGTCGGAGGACGCAGAACAAAAACCAGCTCCGTCAGCCTCCAGACAGATCGAGGAGGGGAGCTTCTCCGAATCCGACGACGCATTCACGACCCGAGCCATGGGGGTCAGGTGGATTTCCTACCGGCGGTAGGAACACCCACGGCCAGGTGGACGAACTGCGACCCCGGCTTGCATCGTTCATCAACCACAGCCCGGCGCTCGGGGAACGCTTTGCCGCATTGGACGCCATGTACCCGGAGGCTCCTACACCAAAGGTAGTGACCAACCGGTCCACCTCACCGATGCCCGGCGCAGGGGACACCTTTCTCTTCGTGCCGCCAGAACATGTCCGCAGCCGCATTCGCCGAGAAGCTTCGGGGGTGGGGCATCCTTTTCGATGGGCAAGCCGACCCCCTGCGTTTCATGGAACGAGTCGAGGAAGGCGCTGCAGCATACAGCGTACGTAACAGCGACCTCCCACGGGCCATCGCTGGACTACTATCGGGCCGCGCCGAAGGCTGATACCGAGCCTACCAGATGCACGCCGAGCCCTGGGAGACTTTCAGGCGAGATTTCTTGGAGTTTTTCCTCCCTCCACGGTACAACCAGCGCCAGGAGGATGCGAGGAGGACCCGCCATCAGCAAGGCGTCGAGCCTTTCTAGTTCTATGTGGTAGATGATGCAGCGGGCAAATTACTCGTTCGAACAGGAGCTCGAAAGGATTTACGAGAACCTGCTGCCGAAGTATCAACTGTTCATAAGGCGCCATGAATTCTCCTCGCTGAAAGGGTTAACGCAACTAGCCACCGCTTTCGAAATTGCTCGGGACCGAGACCCAGTACGACAAGCAGCACTAGTTCCACCCGCCAGTGGGAGCTACACTACGAGGAGCAGCCCTCCGCCCGGCCCTCGCCGACGACGCCTTTCGGGACACCGAACCCAGTTATATCAAACCGGATGATTGGCCCGAGCCTGTGGTCGCTGCGCCGAGGTGGGACACTTCGTCCGGGAATGCCAGAACCCACCAGTCCTATACTGCTGGGACTGCAGGAAACGTGGTACCCGCACCATTGACTGCTGACGCCAGTCGGGAAACAGCCGGGGTCGTCGCACACTCACGGAGCAGGCGGCGACCCACCCAGCGCTCCCCACCCTTAGATCCACCGCTCCGCTTGACGGGTGGCCGAATCGTCGCCACGGTTACCATCGAGGTTCAACTCTTCTCGGCAACCATCGACACGGGGGCCTCCAGAAGCTTTGTCAGCGAAGCGCTCGCCAACCGGCTCGATTCGGGTCGAAACATCAAAGAAGTTCGCACCCAAATATCCCTGGCGGACGGATCCCCGAAGGAACTCACCAAGGCCCTGCACGCACAAGTGCGCCTGGACCAACAACATGTCCGCATGACCCTCCTGGTCATGCCAACGATATTTCACAACTTGGCTACTTTGTGTTTTTCTTATTCTGTGTAATTTTTTTAATTTCTATCACTTATTTGGATATTTCAGACCCGGTGCGAGCCCCCAAATGTAAAGTTGGTATTATAAGTGGTATATTTAAATTAACAGTACGTTGAGATATTAAATAAATGATCAATGTTTACAGCAACGTTCTTAGCTTCTAATTTTAACTTAAGCAACTGAAGACAACTTTAGGCAACTTTGACGACTTTTAAATGCGACCGCTTCTTACGACTTCCTTTTGCGAATGAATCTCCGTCGTAATTTCTTCTCCGGTTTCTCATTCAGCTGTTCTCTAGATCGCTGAATACCATTCACAACGAGGGAGTTGTATACTAGCTGTCCTCTTCTGCCTTAACCCTTAACTTATATATTTAAAAACTTAACATCTAATGAGACCTTCAGTGGCTGGAACTTAATAATGCCTTCAATGGCTGAGATACTGGGTTTAAGTGTGTGAGATGAGAGGCGCCTTAAGCGTCCTCACAACCGGAAGAAAATGAAAATTGCTTTGATAAAACCCACCGATGGGAATAAACGAAACAAAAATACAAAATTCGAAGCGCAGGAAAAAAAACACGACCGTTCACTTTGAAAGTCAAAGACGATATAAAAATATTTAAAGGAAAAATTTAAGTTAAATTAAGTTAAGATCAAATTAATTTGTATCTTCTAAATATAAAAAGAGACTGTGACGATCCCGTCTGACGCGCTAGGCCGCCACAATATATATTTAAGCAACAGTTGTCTAAGTTTCACATTATTACAATTAGTATGTAAGAGATATAAAATGAAGTATTATAATTTAATCGCTTAACCGATCAAATGGATTTTTGGGTATAAAAACAAAATAGGTCAAGTTTGGTTCCGCACCACCCGCCCGAGGTGGCAACCATAGAGAAAAATACCGGAAAATAGAGAAAATACCAAACCTTTCTTGGTGAGAAAGGTCCAAAAAGGCTCTTGGACTTCGAAACGATCGGTCGCGCACGCGGACAAAATAGGTAAAGAAAACACGTGTGAAAGAAAACGCGGTCGGTAGGAAATAAGGTTAGTAAATCAGTGTAATCGGCGCAGTGAAACACAGGGACGATTTAAAAACAACTAATTAAACTGAGTGAACTCGTACGAAAAGAAACGTCGAGCCTGATTGTTATACATTTTATTTTTACCCCGTACCCCTTTGTTCCCCGAGTGATTCAGGCCATTAGTGACTGATGACCCAATTGGAAGCGGTAAAATTTTTGCACCATATACATACACGTTATCCCGATCTACGCATCCTCTCCTCATATCCTACCGCGAAGTGGCAGATCCCTTCGTATCCTATTAACTCCGACGGTGAGACTGAAGATCCTCTCACTGGCCCCATTAATCCCACATGTTAGCGGAAAGGCAGATCCTTCCGACTAATCAAACTTGCTTCCAGCCGATAAACCACGATAGAATCCGGCTGCGGCCCCGCCCGAAGGTCCAGCCCGTGGGATTCTTGGCCCCTCGAACCACGCATCTCGGCCAACCACGATAGAATCCGGCTGCGGCCTCGCCCGATGGTCCAGCCCGTGGGATTCTTGGCCCCTCGGACCACGTATCTCGGCCAACCACGATAGAATCCGGCTGCGGCCTCGCCCGGAGGTCCAGCCCGTGGGATTCTTGGCCCCTCGGACCACGTATCTCGGCCAATCACGATAGAATCCGGCTGCGGCCTACCCCGAAGGTCCAGCCCGTGGAATTTTCCGTCCCGGAAGGACTTGGTGTTCTGATGTTATCGTACCCTCGAGGGTCCTGGAACACCACCCCTCGAGCGAATACGCGTAGAATCTTCGGGATAATTGATCAAAAATCGTCGTTCGCCACGCGAACATTACTCTCTAGCCCTATGTCTTAGTGACTTTACAAATTTCTTGTAAAAGGACCTCTGGATCCGACTGAGAGTTGTATCCTGGCCAGAGAGCATCCTTACAAGTGGCGCCCGAACAGGGACCTGAGGCTAACTAGAGCAATACCAAAGTGGCCTAAAGACCCACTAAGATAAAGATCTTTATCCCGAAGGATCGCGCCCCTGCCGAGTGTTACAACTGTTAGAGCAAAAGGAAAGGCAAAGGAAAAGGAAAAGCAAAGGAAAAGGAAGAAGTTTCACGTATTACAATAAACCATGGCTAATACGAAGGAGTCCGACGGCGAGTACGAGGAAGCCGATTCGATAGAAAACCCAGGCGTAGGAGTACGATGGATTTATGCCCTGCGTAAAGATGAGTTAGCCGCTCTAGCACTCGAGTTCGGGTTTAGCGCCGACGGCACCGTATCAGAAACGCAGAAGGCGTTCGCTACACTCGTAAGCACAGGATCGTTTCCAGAATCGGTGTGGAAACGACTCGCTCAACTACAGGAGCAGTACAGTTCGAGAGCCGTCACTCCGAACCGTCTAGGAGGCGACAAAGGGTTCATGCCGGGAGCCAAGATAACCCAAGTTGACCAGAGTCAGGCTCCATATTTCGCCGGCCATTGTTCTCCCGGAAGACTGACAAGCTATCGAGGTGTCCATACCGGCACGTCACGAGATTTTATCGCCTCATCACTCGGAAATCATGGCGCGTCGAAGCCGCCGGAGTCAGAAGTTCCACTCATTATCACTCTTCCTCGTCATTTACTAGCCGAGCGGATGCATAAATGGAATCTACGATTCGACGGGACGTCGGACCCGCTGACCTTGATCGCTGAACTTGAAGAGAAGAAAGCAACCTACGGAATCAACCAGAAGGAAGTACCCCGTGCCATGTCAGAGATTTTGGAGGGTAGTGCAGCGCGATGGTTCCGCACGAGCCGCTTACAGACAGCTACGTGGGCAGAGTTTCGCGCACGAGTTCTTAAGTTTCTTCCTGCCCCCACGTTACTTCGAGCGACTAGAGGACGAAATCCGAGCTCACATCCAGCGAGCGGATGAGACATTTAAGGAATATTTGGTCGAGTTGAGGACCAAGATGCAGCAAGCCGGATACCAAAAGGAAGAAGAACTCTATCGGATCTACGAAAATATGGCACCGGAATATCGTCTGTATATAAGACGCCACGAGTTCGCGACGCTGGAGCAATTAACCCAAATGGCAGCGGAATACGAAAGTGTGAGGCAGCTGACGTCGAGTCGCGCAGGTATTCCTAGGACGGTGACTGCAGACCGGGATAGGGCCAACGCCCGTCTGACGCCGAACCCCTTTCGAGGCCACGGGGTACCCGTTCAAGGAGGGAATGTAACTCACCGATTGATCAGACAGCCCCTCTCGAACGTCGACGTACAGCAAGCTTGTAGTAGATGTGGAGAAGTCGGTCACTTTAGGCGGGGTTGTACTAACCCACGTCTGAACTTTTGTTGGGACTGCGGTCGAAGGAACACATTGACCGTCGACAGTTGTCGCCGAGATGCCCCGGAAAACGAACAACGTCTTCGCCGACATGCGGGCGCAGCGAAGACGAACGCAGTAACAGCCCGGCACCAAGAAACCCACCATTAAGGATAAGCAACGGCCTGATCACCGCTTCCGTGCTGATCGGAGGCCGATGGGTGGATGCCACGGTGGATACGGGAGCGTCGAGGAGCTTTGCGAGTGAAGGGTACGCTCGTATGGTAGCAAGACCTGAGGAGATGCAGGAGATCATCACTACGATAGCGTTAGCTGATCGGTCAAGCCTGACAGTGAAGAAGCTATGGCGTTCTTGCGAGGAGTTAGCAGGCACGCGAGAGTGGATGCCATTCTTGGTGATTCTAACCATGTTGAATCGCGTGATATTAGGTATGGATTTCTTGGCGGCAATGGGAACACGGATACAATGCGGAGAAGCTACCTTAAAGGTAAAATTGAGCCCGTTGGTGGAAGACCCCCGACTGCGGCCGACCAAAGTCGATCGGATGTCATCAGAGGATACGAACTCGGAAATACTCGAAGGAAGGAGTATGACGGTTCTAGGGGGTCAGGAACCCGACGATAAGGTATACAGAGCAGAGTGAGGTCCCCGCACACAACCGGATCATGTGTCAGATGGCCCCATCAGGAGAATTAAAGAACGGCCGAGGAGACGGAACCGGGAGGCACGACGGACCGGGAAGGGCCTTGGAGGACTTTCCGGATGAAATCGACGAAGCAGAGGGTGAAGAACCAACGGCGGAAGAGAATGGTCTGAGACCCGACCAGCGGGAATTCATCACTTGCGAGTTGGCGCTTTTCAAGGAGCTTCAAGGTGTATCACACGTGGCAGAGCATCGGATTATAATGCGAGACGATAAACCCTTGAAACAAAGGTACTACCCAAGGAATCCGGCAATGCAGAGCGTGATCGACACCCAAGTGGACGAACTACTCCGCGAAGACGCCATCGAACCTTCGCGGAGTCCGCATAGCGCACCCATAGTGTTGGTCAAAAAGAAGACGTGTGAATGGCGCATGTGTGTTGATTATAGACAATAGATCCCGTCCCCAGGATCAACCACATTCTGGAGAAGCTACGATAAGCCCGATACATTTCGACGCTGGACTTAAAGCACGGTTATTGGCAAATACCCATGGCCAAGGACAGCCGCCAATTCACGGCCTTCACCGTTCCGGGCAGAGGCCTATACCACTGGAAGGTCATGCCCTTCGGGCTTCACTCGGCCAGCGCAACCTTCCAACGCACTTTGGATGGCATGATCGGTGCGGACATGGAGCCGTTCGCCTTCGCCTATTTGGACGATATCATCGTTATAGGCGCCACGGAGGAACAACATTTGTCCAACCTGGCCGAAGTCTTCCGTAGACTGCGGAGGGCGAACCTGAAGGTGAATCCAAAGAAGTGCGCGTTCTTCAGGAGGAGGTTAGTTTACCTAGGCCACGTGATTAGTGCCGAAGGAGTCCAAACCGACCCGGAGAAAGTGACGGCCATTACCAACCTTAAGTCCCCTACCTGTCTCAAGGAGCTCCGACAGTGGCTAGGCATGGCATCTTGGTATCGCCGGTTCGTCTCTAACTTCGCAACCGTGGTACAACCGATGACGGCCCTGTTGAAGAAAGGCCGGAAGTGGTTGTGGGGTCCCGAGCAACAGAGTGCGTTGGAAG